GATTCAGAGGCCGTGAAGGAAGGCAGGATCTCCACTGAGTAATATACAATCTGTCTAGGCAGGGCTGATGAAATGAAATGAGGATGGGTCTCTTGTGATACAATAGTGAATAATTGCTATCAGGACTGCTTGTAAGGGTTGGAAATGTAAAGGTAGATGTTTTGTAGCAAGGAAGGGAGTGATTAACTTTTCAGCCTAGGAGCGTAGGTCCCTGGGACCATCAAGGGAGAAGAGCAGAAAATGGGACCCTACCCAGAGAAGCAGTGATGCCTGAGATGGAGGCAGAGATGATGACGTGGAGAGATGGAGCAGTTGGGGGCTTTAGACATAGAGAGGGAGGAGGGCTGTTTGCTGATGACCGGAGGAGGGCAGGCTTGCAGTGTATACCCTTTGGTTGGTTGATGACGCATGGAGGGGATTGTAACCATAGCAATGAAATGATATACGATAGGATGAATGTAAAACTAACGTTCTCCCATGTAAACCATCACATAATTCACAATAAAACATTAAAAAAAAATTAGGAAAGGTGTGCGTCAGGATTGTATTCTGTCACCATACTTACTCATCTGCATATTGAGCAAATAATTTGAGAAACTGGATTATATGAAGAAGAACATAGCATCAGGATAGGAGGAAGACTTATTAAAAACCTGTGCTAAGCGGATAGTACAACCTTGCTTGCTGAAAGAGAAGTGGACTTGCTCTGGGAACACTTGCTGATGAACATCAAAGGCCACAGCCATCAGCATGGATTGCATCTCAATTTAAAGAAAACAAAAATCCTCACAATTGCACATCAAGATCATGGAGAAAAGATTAAAGTTGTCAAAGACTTCATTTTGCTAGGATCAAACATTAAGCAGCAGTCAAGAAATGGTCTGGATTAGGCAAATGTGCTGCACAAGACTTCTTTAAAGTGTTCAAGAGCAAAGATGTCAGAGGACTAAGGTGTGCCTGACCCAAGTCATGGTATTTTCAATAACCTCGTATGAATGTGAAAGCTGGACAGTGAATAAAGAAGACCATACAAAAGTTGATGCATTTGGGTTATGGTGTTGGAGGAGAGTATTAAAACAGGGACTGCCAAAAGAACAAGCAAACCTGCATTGGAAGAAGTACAACCCGAATGCTTCTTAGGAACCAGGATGGCCAGACTTCGTCTCTCATAATTTGGACATATTATCAGAAGGGACAAGTCCCTGGGGAAGGACATCATGCTTGGTGAAGTGGAGAGTCGGCGAATAAGAGGAAGACCCCAATGAGACTGATTGGCACAGTGGCAGTTACAATGGACTCAAGTGTAGCAACAATTGTGAGGTCTATGCAAGACTGAGCAGTGTTTTGTTCTGTTGTACATACATAAGGTCACTATGAGTAGGTCCCAACTTGACGGTACTTAACAACAACAACACAAATTGTATATAATCTAATGAAAATGAGCAGAACTTCTACTAAGATTAAAAACATTACTGAGAACAATTAAAGAAGATATACTATGATCATGGATTGGAATAATCAAAAGTGTAAAGATATTCTCTCCATGTTAATTTATAAATAGTTAATATAATCCCAATCAAAACCTCAGTAGGATTGTGTGTGTGTGTATATGGAAAATGCCAAACTGATTCTAACATTTATAAGAAAAAGCAAAAAGGAAGGTTATATGAGGCCCTCTGAAAGAATAAAAAGAAAGTAGAACTTATTCTACCTCCCATCAAAACTTTTATGCTTTAAGTAAGTCAAGACAGTATGGTATCAGATCAAGGGTACACAAATAAACCAATGGAGCAGTACAGAGTTCACAAAGAGATCCATGCATATGTGGACACAATTTATGACAAAGAAGGCAATAGAACAAAGAAGAAAAGACAGCTTTTAAAATAAATGGTGCCAAGTTGATTGGATATCCATGTATAAAAACATATGAATCTTTACCCTGATGTCACTCCATATATAAAAGCTAATTATAGAAGACTTGTAGATCTTAATATTAATATAATAATAATAATATTATAGATCTACTAAAACTTTTAGAAGATAACAATGGAGAGTATTTTCATGGCCTTAAGATATTGAGAGGGAGTGGCTCCATACGATAAGCACTGGACTGTGATCCACAAGGTCTGTGGTTCGAGCCTGCTAGCCGCTTCATGGGAGAAAGACGAGGCGCTTTGCTCCTGCAAAGATTTAAAGCAACTTCAAGGTGCTTAACAACAATAACAGGATATTGCAAGCTTCTTCAACAGGACACCAAAAGTACTAATCATAAATGAAAAGATGGATTAATTAGACTACCTTAAAACTGAGAACGTTTGTTCATCAAAAGACACCTTTTTGAGAGTGAAAAGGCAAGGCACAGAGTGAATGTATCTGGATTACAGAAAGAATTCCTTCAAAATAAAGAAACAGTAATAAAAAAAAAATTTAGAGACATTCTTGATGGAGTACAAAAGAGGTTACTTACATGAACAATAAACATTTGAAAAAGCATTACTCATGAAAGAAATGGAAATGAAATGAGATACCACTACATACACCTCCATTAATCATCAAAATTAAAAAGATTGATAATGTAAAGTGTTGGTAAGGGAGGAGAACAAAACCTGATGAAACCAATTAGGAGTACCTGTGTGGTGCTGTGGGTTAATGCACTGGACCGCAAGGTCAATTTGGACCACAAGGTCACTAGTGGTTCATACTCACCAGATGCTCCTCGGAAACCCTCTACAGGCTCACAATGAGTGGGAACCGACTTGATAGCCCTTAACAACAACAACCATCAACCATCAGCATATACTTCAATACAAGGTTTTAAAATACCTTGTTGTTGTTAAGTACCATCGAGTCAGTTCTAACTCATTGTGACCCTGTGTAGGATTTCTGGGCCTATAAAATTTCACAGGAGCAAAACGCCTCATCTTTCTTCCGTGAAGCAGCTAGTGGCTGACTGCCAACTTTGTGATTTAGCAGTTCAATTTTTATCCTACAGAGCCACAGTAGAATTAGTGGGGGAAAAAAGTTGTGTAAAAATGCATAAAACAAAATACACATTTAAACCACATTACTTTCCCACTTGAACTATGAATTCCAAGTCCATGTTTCAGAGTGTATCTTACTTGGGCCCTGAGGACAGTCATGGTTTCAAGGTCCTCCTCCTGCTTGGCAATGGTCTGTTTCATCTCATCCAGTTGAAGCTGCTTAGAAGCCAGGGCCTTCTCTGCCAGTTCCAGTTTCTCCTTTAGTTCCTGCAGTACTGCCTTGTCCACTTGCTCTGCCTGAAGAAGACAGGGTTATTACACACACACACACACACACACACACACATATACATACATAAATATATATATATATATATATATATATATAGAGAGAGAGAGAGAGAGAGAGAGAGAGAAGGTATTGAAATAATTCAGCTTATTATAGTAAAATGTTAGATAAAGATTTATTTAAAACCATATTGGGTCTGTTACATGAATAAGCAATGCTAACTTAATGTACAAAGTACAAAGTTGTGGTCATTCAGCTTACAGCTGATAAATAATCATTTCCTAAATGGATACAAAGGAGTCCTGGTGTGGCGCTGTGGGCTAATGCGCCAGACTGCAAAGCCATTTGAACTGCAAGGTTGGCAGTTCAAGCTCACCAGCTGCTCCTCGGAAACCCTAGACTGGGTCACTATGGGTTGGAGCTGACTCGATGGCACTTAACAACAACAATGATAAAAGAATATACTGCAATAGGGGACATAATAACAAACCCCGATCTTAATGAGGCTGTGACTCACTGCTACTGTTATATTTCCACTCATGTCACTCTTACTTTGTGACGTCAGTGGGAAAGAAGAAACTATTTTAATTAAAAATCTACTATGAGGACATCTGGTGTGGCGCTGTGGATCAGCACTAAACTATGAACCACAAGGTTAGCAGTTCAAACCCACCAGCTGCTCCTCAGAAACGCTATACAGAGTCACTATGAGTCAGAACCCACTCGACAGTACTTAACAACAATAACAGGCCCTGTAGAGAAAACACATTTTATTTAAAAGTAAATAAAAACAGAGAGTTGATTTATAAGGAAATAAATACAAAGACCTTTTCTAAATCAAAGAGGCCATGGTTTTCACATTATCACACCATGCCAGGCAGTATTAAGTTAGTAAGTTAGTATTAAGTTAGTAAGCTAATTTAAGTTGCACGCCAATGAAGCTCAGTCAGGGTCTTGTTTCCCTGAGAGAAGGTGAGCTGGCCTTGCAGAACCTCATGCACTAGATAGCGCCTGTCACCCCAGCCAGCAGCTCACTATGCACTATTCCCCCAGGAGCCCATTCTGCTGCTAGCTCTCCCACAAACCTACCATCACAAACACTAAAAGCTCACTCCCTGATGGGAGGACACAAAGAGCACTGGTGTACATACATGAAGGGGCTGCAAATATGTTTGTGGAAAATTTGTGTCATCTTTTATTTCCCCTTTCCCACATAACTTTTTGTAGCTACCTCGTATGTATATACACACACAATATCGGAAGTTGTAAACATTTAGGCACAAAATATCAATTATAAACTGAAAAAGAATCTTTGAAACCAGACTTAGGTAAGGATGACTGTAACTATTTTACATATAAGATGTTTGCCAATTTCCATTCATTGCTCGGCTGTGAAAACAATGCTTTTCCTATGAATACCTACTTCTTTCATTTTTAGTTCCTCAATTGTTTTCAATGCTTCACTGTGCTCTTGAAGAAGCTTGTTGTGTGTCAACTGTAGAGCGGCAAATTTGGCTCTATTGAAAAAGAGATTTATGTTAAAAAAAAAAAAGATTAAAAAGGCATCTTGGGGAGGAAAAAAAGTCATAGAAACATAATTATAGTCTTGACTCCCAATCTTCTGAACACATAAATAGCAAAGTCTTCTCTCCTGCCTTTAACACTCCTCTACCACCACCTCCTAGCATTTTCCTATTTTCAAAGGAAATAATCTCTTCCAAAATATCTGGATAGAATACACATAATTTCCTTATTTCTGTTATGATAAAACTTATTCCCTAAGAAATAAATATTCCCAGTACTTCTACAAAGAAGAAAGATATTTTATAGTTTTATTTTCTAATCTTAATTCCAACCTGTGTAAAACTGTTCCATCTCCTTTTTGCAAGCAGTCATTCAATAATAGCCCACTCACTTTTCATCCTCTGTTTTAGCTTGTTCCATTTTGATTTCCGAGCGCATGCTTTCCACTTGTAGCTCTAACTTTTTGTTATTATATACAAGTTCTTGCTTTTCATTCAACTCTGATGGGGCTGCAGAAGTTTTCCTTTCAAGGGCCTGACACCTAAGAAAGATCAAGACTTTATGAGGACAAACATTACTCCTGCACTTCTCAGTGGCTTGTAAAAAACATACCAAGGTTAGGGAGCAGATGCAAAACATCTTATGGTTGCAATTTTCAAGGATTTAATGGTACAAAATAAAATATTTTAAACTTGTTGCCTTTTTCCTAGGCATGGTCATTTTGTGAGCCCTTATGCCTATACCTAGAAAAGTACAGATCTACGATTACATGAACTACTACTCACTTTGAATAATTATTTAAATTAGTCATGCTAATATATTTGTATTGAAACACAGACCAAGGTAAATAATTGGTAAAGGTCCTTTTGCTTGTTTGTTTGGTTTTGGAAGGTTTATTTATTTATTTAGATTTTATTGTGACTTGAGTGATAGTTTACATGGCAGAACATCCCTTTTACACTCGTTTCAATGCAATGATTACAATCTCCTCCATGCATCACCATTCAACAGTAGTCGCTTCTATTCCCTCTTTTTTTTTTAGGGGTGGGGGAAGAATGTACACAAAAATACTCAGGAATATATAATTGTTTAAACAACTAAAGGGCACATTCTGCAAGACTACGTCCTGGCCACCAGCACCTGGCTGCCAGCACACAGTCTTTCTCTTTCCAAGAGTCCAGAGCCCTCAGCTGCACCCTCTCTCCATATCCTCACTTCTGCTTCCATCTCTGGTGTCACTGCTTCTCTAGATAGGGTCCCACATTCCACTTGTGCTCTTTTCCCTTGATGGTCCTAAGGTCCTCTGTTCCTGGACTGTAAGAGTAACTACTCTGCTCTTTTTGTTACAAAACTTCTACCTTTACAGTTGTGAAAGTTGCAATTAGTCATAATAACAATTACTCATTATTCAGTCATAAGAAGCTTATCCCCATTTCTTTTCACTAGATCCATCTAGACAAGATGAAGGCTATTTAGTGGGGATTCTACCTTCCCCTATACAGTCCGAAACTGAACTCCCTCTTGAAAACTTGTAAGCCCAGTCACTTCATGCCTTTACAGCCCCCCCCCCCCCACCATTTTAGGTAGCCAATGTCTAATTTGCCCATCCTTATCAATCCTATATACAAAGGGGATATGATTGATCCTTGATGTGAAGACTTTGGCTCTCAGTTGGTATTTTGAGCTACTACTTCCATAAGTATAGGTCAAGTTCTTCAAATTGTAGCAATTTACACTTGTTTCCTTTATAATTTTTTTTTTTTTTTTTTAAATCTTCCTCTGGTCAAGTTCTGATCAAGCCATTTAAGCTAGGTTGAGTGGATACTAGCTGCAAGTTTGGGTGTTCCTGTGCATCTCCCTTCACTTAATATCAGCTGTACGCTTCACTCTCAGCTTAGCCCTCCATGGTTATGTCCTTGTCCATGGGCTCAAGGGTCCCCAGGTCTCAGCACACTTCGAACCAACCAGCCCCTCTTCTTTTTTCTCTCCAGGTTGATGCAAGCCTATGGGACGTGGTTGAACTTGGTCCATATCTTCATTGCTGCCTTTCTCCCTCTTCTACTTACCAGAAGACCAATGTGGTTGCCAGCAGGCTTAGACACCTACTCATGTGTTCCCTTTGAGTTTCAATCCTGGAGAGGGGTTTGTCCTGAAGGGCCTTGATTGCGTGCCTTGATGGCTCCCCAGTGAACAACTTGCTTGTTCTTGTAGCAGTCAATCAGACTGCCATTCTTGTTTTGGAATTTTCCTGTTGGTCTTTCTTTCAAGAAGTATCTTCTGTTCTTCTAGCTGATCCACGCTGGTCTGCTTGTCCATGCTAGTAGGAATGTCCAACCTCAGAAGGTTCTGGATGGGGCTCAGGATTCCACTTAAGGTCTTATACACTGCAAAGGCTCTGCAAGAAGGCTATTTAACTGGGCAAGTTCTAGAACCCCTTTTAGGTGTTCCAATCAGTTATAAGTATAGGTCAAATCTGAAGATGGGCTTACAAGCTTTCTGTAATCATGTTTCCTGACATTCTTTTCTATCCCACTCAAGTGTCTAGGCAAGGGAAAAACCAAGATTCATAAAACAGTCAAGCATCTTAACATTATTTTCCCTCTTTTACCCTTCAGACTAAGCCTCGATCCGATAAAGGTATTTTTATATAGTGATTTATGGATACCTTTTAACCTTAAGAAAGCTACTGATTCTGTCAAGTACATAGACTATGACTTCTCCCAAAGATTTCATAGGGCAAAAGGAAGTATTCTATGTCTTCTTAAAGATCAAAAAGAGAATTTCAGTATAATAATAACAAACACCAGGAGTCCTGGTGTGGTGACTATAAGGTCAGTTTGAACCTCAAGGTTGGCAGTTCCAACACACCAGCTGCCCCTTCAAAACCCTATACAGGGTCATTATTGAGTTGGAACTGACTTGATGGCACATAGCAACAGTAGCAAACATCAAAAAAATGGTGTACTTAAACATGGAGTCTAATAGAAAGCATGAAGAACTATGACACACGATTTACAAAGATAAAACTGAGGCTCAGAGAAATTCAATAAAGAACTTGCCCAGGATATAAGTAAGTGATAGATCCATATTTAAACCAAGGTGTGTCTGTTCAAAGTTCTTACCTTAAGCAGCTATGCTATGCCAGATTACCATAATATACTACAGTGGTGGTTAAGTGCTGGAAACACCTGCCAACTAATCCAACAGAATACCATCAATTTAGTTTTCCTAAATTTCTGGTAACTTCTTAGATTAGAACAAATGCAAAATTCTCAGTTTCTGTTAGTCTTAATAATTAACTGAAATTACTTTTTTCCTTAATAAACTTCAAGCAAGGCGTCTTTTTGTTCTTTTCAGCTTTCTTTTCTTTTGGTTCATGTCAACACTGTCAACTTAAGTAAGACGCAGTGGGCTCACAGATTTGTACAGGTCTTCACATGGGCTGGTGTACTTAATACATGCCCCCGAACAGCAGAATCAAAGCCCTTGGTCCCACCTCCCATACAACTACAAGTATTTCTTGTTTGTACAGTTACCTGTATATTAGCTCTTTCTGAATTCACATTTTAATTACATGTATATTTTTCTTTTAGTCAGTAGCATAGTAACATAGCTATTATGGTTTTGCATTGTAATTTATTTTACAAAAACACAGCAGTGACTTAGTGTCATACTTCGTAAAAATTTACATTTTTAGGCAACCCAGCCAAACCAACTGCCATCGAGTAGATTCTAACTCATAGTGACCCCACAGGACAGAGTAGAAATGCTCTTTTGGGTTTCTGAGACTACACATTTTTATGGGAGCAGATAACCTCATCTTTCTCCTATAGAGTGGTTTGTGGTTTTGAACAGCCAACCTGTGGTTAGCAAACCAATACTTAACGCACTATCCCAGCAGGGCTTCTTACATTTTTAGAAGGAGGATAACATTCATCTCTCATTCTTACTTTTCTTGAAGTCTTTTTTTCATGAGCTCTGCTTCACTGAGTTTAGTATGAGCCTCTTGAAGCTCTTTAAACAGGGTCGTCACTTGAAGGTTCAGCATTTCCACTTCACTTCCAACCTATTATATACGACATTCAAACATAGATATGTGATTAGCATCCGCTGACCATTTAATCTCTTTAAATGAACTGCTTTGTAGGAAAATAGTCCAAACCATTAACAACCAATTTAAAATGATGAGTTGATTAAATTTTGATCATTAATACACCAAACATATTAAGTATTTTTGAAACAACACTGTTTCTTTGTAGAGCATGTACTGGTCAGTTTGGATTCATTTGAGATAATGACATTATCATAATTAAAATGAACCATGATCATTGTTTAGGAGAGTCCTTGGGTGTAGCATATAGTTAAGTGCTCAACTATTAGCTGAAAGAGTGGCAGATTGAACCCGTTCAAACTCACCAGCTGCTCCTTGGAAACCCTATACAGAGTAGCTATGAGTTGGAACTGACTCAACAGCACTTAACAACAATAACAGAGAAGTCTCAGAAGACAACATAGTGATCTGGTTCTGAAAGGTCCCAGTCTTGAAAACCCTATGGAGCACTTATACACATTTACACACATGGGGTCACCATGAGTTGAAACTGACTCAACGGCAACTAACAACAACAACATCGTTTAGGAAAATCTAGATGACCGGGTGTAAAATCCTAATCTTATTTATCCAGCTCACAATTTACTCATATTCCTTTGCCAATTTATATGTTTAGTTTACACAACAATTTTTAACTGTATAAGCCTTTTAACAGGCAGCTCTATAATTGTTGTAATTGAGTTTTATATTGCTCTAGAAGTCTCAGTCATTTTCAATAATTGATTGCTAAACTAATTTTACTTGTTTTTGTTTGTTGTTTGGTGCCATTGAGTCAGTTCTGACTAACAGCGACCCTAGGCACAACAGAAAGAAACACTGCCTGATCTTGATCTTGTGCCATCCTCACGATTGATGTTAGGTTTGAGCCCATTGCTGCTGCCAAGTGTCAATCCATCTTGTTGCGGTTATTATTGCTCACTGGTGGTCGCTTCATCTCAGCTTTCTACATGTTCTCGATTCTCGTGAAAGCCTCAGAGACTTGGCCCACAGCATGGCATACAGTTGTTTTTCGGTGCCATCAGGTTGTTTCTGACTCATAGAAACCCTATGTACAACAGAATGAAACATTGCTTGGTCCTGGGACATCCTCACAATTATTGTTAAACTTGAGCCCACTGTTGTTGCCACTGATTCAATTCATCTCATTGGGGGTCTTTCTCTCTTCCACTGACTCTCCGCTTGACAAAACATGATGTCCTTCTCCAGGGCCTGATCCCTCTGGATACCATATCCAAAGAATGACAAACAAAGTCTCACCATCCACGCTTCTAAGGAGCATTCCGGCCATACTTCTTCTAACACAGATTTGTTTGTTCTTCTAGCAGTTCATGGTACTTTCAACATTCTTCTACAACACCATAACTCAGAGGCATCGATTTTTCTATGGCCTTTCTTATTCATTGTCTAATTTTCACATATGTATGAAGCTACTAAAAATACCATGGCTTAGGTCTGGCACACCTTACTCCTCAAACTGACACCTTTGCTCTTGAACATTTTATAGAGGTCTTGTGGAGCAGACTTGAACAATTCAATATTTTGTTTGATTTCTTGACTGTTGCTTCCATAAGTGTTGGTAGGGGATCCAAGCAAAATGAAGTCTTGGCAACTTCAAACTTTTCTCCATTTATCATGATGTTATTTATTGGTCCAGTGGTGAGGATTCTGTTTTACTTACATTGAGGTGGAACAAATACCGAAGGCTGTTGTCTCTGATCTTCATCAGAAAGAATTTTAAGTCTTTTTCACTTCCAGCAAGCAAAGTAGCATCATCATCTGCTTATCACGGGTTGCTAATGAGTTTTCCTCCAATCCTGATGTCATGCTCTTCTTCATATAACCCAGTTTCTGGGGTTATCTGCTCAGTTTACAGATTAAATAAGTATGGTGAGAGCATTGGCACACACTTTTCCTGAGTTTAAACCATTCATTGTACCCTTGTTCTATTAAAATGACTGCCTCTTGGTCTATGTACAAACTCGTTATGATCACAATTAAGTGTCTGGAAAACTCATTCTTCATGATGTTGTGTTATAGCTTGTCATGATCCACACAGCTGAAAATCTTGGCATAGTCAATAATGCACACGTAAGCAAGATCCACCTGAAATCAGCAATGCTATCCCTCATTTTACATCCTTGTCTGCATCTGGCTTGAACCTCTGGCAGTTCCCTGTCACTGTACTGTTGGTGGTCATTTTTGAATTATCTTTAGCAAAATTTTATTTGCATGTGATATTAAGGATAGTTTCCAATGATTTCTGCATTCTGTTGGGCACCAATATGTATTTCTTCCAATGAGTTGGCCAGGTAGCTGTCTTACAAATTTCTTGGCATAAATCAATGAGTACCTCCAGGCTGTATCAGTTTGTTGACATATTTCAATTTGTATTCCATCAATTTCCAGAGCTGTGTTCTTTGCTAATGGCTTCATAGTGCATCACAGACTTCTTTCTTCAGCTTTTTCTTTCAGGCTTTTGATTATATATGATCTCTTGAAATGGTTGAACATTGACCACTTCTTTTTGGTACAGTGACTCTGTGTATTCCTTCCATCTTCTTTTGATGCTTTCTACATTATTCATCATTATTTTGTCCATGAAATCCTTCAGTATTACAAGTTGAGGACTGAAGTTTTTCTTCAGTTCTATTATCTTGAGAAATGCTGAGTGTGTTCAAGATCATATTTTGGCTCTCATGGACTTGTTTTAATTTTCTTGAGCTTCAGCCTGAACTTGCAACTGATGGTCTTTTTCACAGTTGACCCCTGGCCTTGTTTTGGCTGATGATATGGAGCTTTTTCACCATCTCTTTCTACGTATGCAGTCAATTTGATTTTCATAAATTCCATCTGGTGAGGTCCATGTGTACACCAATCTATTTTGCATTTAAAAAAGCTATTTGTGGTGAAGAAATCATTGGTTTTGCAAAATTCTGTCATGTCATCGTTTCTACTGTCAAAACCACATTTTCCAATTACTGGTCCTTCCTCTTTGTTTCCGACCTTTGCATTCCACTCACGAGTAGTTATCCATACATCTTGATTGCATGTTTGATCAATTTCCAACTGAAGAAATTGGTAGAATTTTTCAAATTCTTCATCACTGACTGGTTCATGTATAAATTTGAATAGTAGTCTTATTAACTAGTCTTTCTTGTAGGCATATGGATATTATCCTATCATAGTCAGCATTACACTTTAAGATAGATCTTGAAATGATCTTTTTGATGATGAATTCTACACCATTCTGCTTTAATTTTTCATTCCTGGCATAGTAAACTTTATGATTGTCAGATTCAAAATGGACGATACTGATCCATTTCAGCTCACTAATGCCTAGGATAGTGATCTTTATGCATTCCATTTGACTTTTGACAACTTCTAATTTTCCTAGATTCATACTTCGTATAGTCTATGTTCTAATTATTATGGATGTTTACAGCTGTTTCTTGTCATTTTGAATTGTGCCCCATCAGCCAATGAAGGTCCCAAAAGCTTGACTCCATTTTGTCATCATGGTCAACTCTACTTTGAGGAGGCTGAGTGCCTCCTAACCTGCTGCCACCACCTAACCTGAGGGGCTCATCTTCTAGCACTATACCTGACAATATTCTGGTGGTATTCATCATGTTTCAACATTTAATATTCTGGTACTACGTGACAGTGTTCCACTGCTAGTCATAAAGTTTTCAGTGGCTAAATATTCAGAAGTAGTCTGCCTGTCCTTATTCCTACTCTGTCTTAGTCTGGAAGCTCAGCTGAAATCTGACCACCATGGGTGACCCTGCTGGTGTTTAAAATGCAGGTGGCATGGTTTCCAGCATCACAGAAACACACAAGCCACCATGGAATTATGGTGGTGTGCCATTGAGTTGGTTGCACAGTGACACTGCATAGCATTGCCGAGGCAATAAATCTTTACGGGAGCAGAATGCCTCATCTTTCTTCCACGGGGTGGCTGGCAGATTTGAACTGCTGACTTAGAGGTTGGCAACCAGTTTGTAATCTATTAATCTAGTAACTTAGAAATCTTAATTAAGCAGAGCATTGAATAATGGCATGTTGATCAACTTTAAAGTTGTCTATTAAACCTGAATAGCAATCTATTCATGGTGTTCTGAGTTATTTATTTTTGATACTCATGATCATAAAGTGGACAAAATTCCATTTTCATTAACTTTGCCAATTCACTTAAATATTTAGGATATCAGTCAAGACGAATAGAGTAGTGGTTTCCTATATTACTGATAGGAATATATCTCACTACAGTTTATACCGAATCAAATTTAAGTCAAGACAGGGAAATATAAAAGAAGTTGAAAATATTCAACAGTAATATTATCTCTATTCATCTTAATTATATATAGCAAATCTATAAGGTAGAGTAGAACTGACCCAGAGGATTTCCTAAGTTATAATCTTTATAGGAGCAGATTATCAGGTCTTTTCTCCTGCTGAGCTGCTGCTGGTAGACTCGAACCACTGGACCCTTTGATAGCAGCAGTGCACTTAACCATTGCACCACCGGAGTTCCTATGAGTCAGAATCAACTTGATGGCACACATTACACACCAATGCAGTTTCTATACTATTCTTAAGTTTGTCAGGGATGCTCGATCAGCCTTAGCCTTTAAGTACCCACAGTCTCTGTGTCTTTCTCCTCTTCTTTCTCTGCGTCTGTGCTGCCCTCGGTCTGGGTCTCCATCTCAACATGATCATTTGCTTTCTTTTCAAAATTTGAAATTCTGAAAAATTATAGAATGTAGAAAAGTTACTTTCTCTTTGTTTTAAAAGAAGAATAATCATTGCAGAAGCAATAAAAAGAACACTTCAAATTCATGATACAGAAGCAGGGGCTTTCAAAATCATTTTATAGTCATAGGGCAGCTTTCACTTTAGTTTTTATCATAAACTGACCTGAGTTGATTTAAGACATGAACTCCGACAGTGTCATCATGTGCGCACATATGTACATATGTGTTCTGTCAGTGTGCATCTCTCCTTTATAAGACTCTAACAAAGAAGGAAATATTTTCCTTTTGGACTGATCTAAGTTGACAAGCCTCTGAATAAACATAGCAATACTCTTCTTCTTTTTTTTTGAGTTACACATTTTTAAAGTTTTTACTTTAGGTATATCACATAGTGATATGCTTTTCATCTCTAATTACAGAATCATAGCCACATGAACGCCATCCCAAAAGACAGCAGGTTAAAAATAGGCATGTAAACATAATAATGAATCTGCAAAACACCCCATAACATGGATGAATCTAGAGGACATTATGCTAAGCTAAATTAGTCATTCACAAAGGACAAATATTGTATGAGACCACTATTGTAAAAACTCGAGAAAAGGTTTTCATACTAAAATAAACATTCTTTTATGGTTCCCAGGAATGGGAATTATAGAATTAATTATTCACGGACTAGAGGTTACACAAGTATTTACTTGTGTGACAGAGAGGGCAATATACAAGAAGGGGAAGGATAGCAAGAATGATGAAGACAGGTGAAGACACAGGGAGTATGTAAGAACTCAAAGGGATAAAGGTAAATAGTGATATATATACAACCTTGGAACAATAGCGCTCTGTGTGTAGATACATGGACAGTTCTTTGTCCACGTATTCAGACACAGGCTGAATGGTTATGGGAGGAAGAGTGAAATTTATATATATGAAATTTATGTATCTACTCATGTATGTATTACACATATATGTAGGAGTTTGAAAGAGAATATTTGTATATGGGTAACCACAGGGAGAAAGTGGGATAACTGTTACATGGAAGGGATTGCAATCATTGAGATGAAACAAAGTGTATGATTTGTTGAATGTGAAGCTGATGATCTTGTCTATAGACCTTCACTCAACTTGCAATAAAAAGTTTTAAAAAAACCCACACGTGTATTTTTTCTCCCATACAAAATCACACTAAAATGACTTTACGCAAGGTCAGCAGTTCGAAACTACCAGCTGTTCCACAGGAGAAAGATGAGGCTTTCTGCTCCCATAAAGATTTACAGCCTCAGAAAACCTGTAAAGGGTCGCTATGGGTTGGAACTGACTCCATGGCACATAACAACAACAATACTGGCACAGAGAAGGAGAGAAAATAGCACCAATAAATTCTTGGAAGCTAGAGAGCGTAGGTGCGAGTAAGAACTAACTGACTTAGCCCAGCCCAAGAAGCCAGGACCTTAACCAACAGTAGGGAAGAGCCTGGAAGTTAATCCAATTCACACTGTGGAGCCTGCGCAAGGCTCAGGAATTGGTGGCACCAGGTACCGCTGGAAGTTGCCAAAAGGTAGGGCTCAAAACTGGAAGATTTGTTAAGAAGACTAGAAGACAAAAGATGGTAAAATAAAGAGTCTCTGGTGTCCTGGTGTGGAGCTGTAGGATAAGCACTGGACTGCTAACTACAAGATCAGTGGTTCAAATGCACCAGACGCTCTTCAGAAATCCTATACAGGGTAGCTATGTGTTGGAGCTGACTCAACGGCACTTAACAACAAAAACAGCTGCAACAACAGAGGTATCAGACAGAGTTGAGGGCTTGGGTTCGCTACTGAAGAGAGGGAAATTTACACACTAAATATTGAGACCCTCAGCCTTCTTTCCCTATCTGTAGCTGGGAAAATACCTTCCAGGTCAGCGACTGGGAGTGTCTTCTCTGAAGAATTAGGGCAGAACGGGGAAGGGGAAGATTTAAAGTTACAGACATAAGGCTTCTCCAAGGAAACTTCCCATACAGATCTCTTTACACATGCTTTACATAGAGCTTCAGGCACTTTCCAACTTCACCTCTCTTAAATCTGAATCCAAACCTATACCTTTGAGGAAAACCTCTAAATTTAAAGAATGCAAGCAGAACAGAAAAAAAAAAAAAAACCAACTTGCTAAAAATAGGATGCTCGGTTGGGGATGAGGGAAACTTAAGGAGAAAGAAACAAGCAATCATTAATATCCTTAGAAACATAGGAAACATATTAGATTCATTTTGAAAAAAAAAAGAACAAAAAGGTAAAGAAAACGACAGGATGAAAGTTGATCAAATCTACCAGGAAAGAGCAAAAACAGAGATGGAAAGAACGAACAAAGAATAAAGAAAATTAGTCCAGGAGACTACATTAAGAATAATAGTAGTTCTAGAAAGACATAATGGAGAAGTTTGAGGATACGACGTTATCGCTGAGTTAATTTGAGATCATTTTTCGAGAATGAAAGGGAAAAAGAGTGTCTTGGAAAAAATGGATGAAAAACAGTTTTCCACAAAAGCACCTAGATGACTCCAGATTATTTGAGACACAGGAAAGAACTTTCAGTGATGAGAAACAAAAAAAGTTTTATCCAAAAAAGATTATGAATCAGAATAGCAATGGGCTTTTAATACCAGAAGCTAAACTATAACAATGTCTTCACAATTCTGAGGGAAATTATATCCAATATAGAATTCTCTATCTAGCCAATGAAGTAGAGAAAGAGATTTTCCAGATATGCAAGATTTTAAGAAATTCTTTCTCAAGAAGTCACTGGAGATGTGATTTATTTAAATGATTTTTAACAAAATGAATAGCAAGGCATTAGTTTCAGGAAACTGGAGCTGTAACACAGGAGAGCTGAAGGGATTCCCCTAGGATGATGGAAAAGGAAGATACCAAAATGAAGGAAGATACCAAGAAGACTGCTATAAAGCAGACCTAAGAAGCAACAAGGCCAGGCTCTAGGAGAAGCAACTTCAAGAAGAGAAATCCAGACTGCTAATGCATTTGAATATAACAGAGATTTCCTCACTGGAGGAAGAGTTTGGGGAAACTAGGTAAATTTTAAAATAGCAATTATATGTGAACAGAGGAAATAACAATTATGAAAGAAAAAAAATAATCATAGCATAGCATACAGCTTAACAGAGCACATCACATATACTGTTGTTGTTGAGGGTGGGCGAGTTAGTTCCAAGCCATAGCAACCCTATAAAGATTTCCAAGGAGCAACTGATGGGTTTGAATTGTTGACCTTGTGGTTTGCAGTCCAGTTGATCCTAGAGCGCCACATCAGGAGTCAGTATCTATCACACATATGTATATCACATGTATATAGGCATAATAATGTAAGTACTGAGTAGTAGATCTTACCAACTCTTAACACAATCAATTTCAAAGTGGGTGGAGGGGGGAGTATTCGAAGAAGGGTCCAGAAGTACATTTGTGTGGTGATGACCAAGGAGTGAAAGACAGTTAAATCCTTATCCTTCATAGTGGGAAATCAATCAATTATGTTTAAAATAGAAACAAATCTAATAGGTAGAAATATAAACCTAATCTACAACTTTAGCACCAAACCCATTGTTGTTGAGTTGATTCTGACCTTATTATAGAAGAAGAACTGCCCCCATAGGTTTCCAAGGCTGTACATCTTTGCAGAAGCAGATGAGTTATCTTTCCTGCTAGTGGTTTGAATCACTGACCTTTTAGTTGGTGTCTCAGCACTGTGTCACCGGGTTACCTAAATCCAATCTAACAAAACCACTGCTACGGAGTCAATTCCAACTCACAGTGACTCTTTAGGCCACAGTGGACCTGCTCCATAGGGCTTCTGAGACTGAGTCTTTATAGACACAGGGAAATTCTTTTTTTTTTTTTTTTCATGAAGTGGCTGGTGGGCTAGAACCATCGACCTTGTGGTTAGCACAACACAACCCATTATACCATAAGGGCTCCTTAGAACAAATACGTTGTTATTGTTGTTGTATGTCATCAAGCCAGTACCAACTCATAGCCATCCTGTGTAAGGTTTCAGAGCATAGCTGGTGGGTTTGATCTGCCAACCTCATCTAGTGCTTATCCTACTGTGCCACACCAGGGTGCCAGCTAAGTATGCTGAAAGTGGTGGTCTATAAATCAGGAAAAAGGTGTTGGGAAGGACTGATGAAGGGACTGCTGTTTTCCATAAGAAGTTTGTATAACACCTGATTCCTTAAATAACGTGAATGTAAAACTAGTTAAAACAAACAAATAAACAAAAGGTGGTGATGTTAAACAGTGAAACAAACACATTAGTATGTGTCTCAAATTGTCAAACCTAAGGTGCCTTTCCCAGCTAGCCATACGAAATGATGACAAGTGAGCTGGTAAAGGGTTGGAAGATGGGCCCATAGAACAGTTCTGACATACACCGGAATCACAACTCATCTGAATTTTCTAGGGCAAATTTTCATCTTGGGCTGACTTTTTCCAGCTAACTCTTAAATTTTCTGGGCATGTCCAGCTAACTCTTAAATTTTCTGAGCATGTCCAGAAAGCACATACTACATTAAATATTAACTCTGGAAAAACAGTTACAGAGATAAATCTATTTTCTTCTCTTCCCACAAATTACCTAATAAACTTTGGAATACCTATCCCTCTATGTCCCATGAGGTATAGATACTCTAAAGTTGATTAACTGATTTGTGGGAAGAGAACAACAACATATCCCATGAAAAGGACTGAAGAGGACTTATTTGATAAAATGACATCTTAGTTCCTTGAATGTGTTTAACTATATACTAAAGTATTGAAGAGCAAAGATGTCAGCTTGAGGACTAAGGTGCACCTGACCCAAGCCATGCTATTTTCAATAACCTCATATGGATGTGAAAGCTGGACAGTGAATAAGGAAGACTGTAGAAGAATTGATGCCTTTGAGTTATGGTGTTGGAGGAGAATATTGAAATTGCCATGGGCTGCCAAAAGAAACAAGAG